ACAATCTTCTTTTATTTTCACTCATCTTTTCTTTAAACAAACCATATCTTACTGATTTTATATTATTTTCAATATTAAAACCTAGTTTTTCCATCCTCCTTCTTATTTCAACCGTCCTGTAACGCGATATCAATAGATGATCAAGAGTTTCGTCTTCATCACAATTCTCCATAGGGCATTTCTTAGTGGTAACGAAACAGCTCCACAGAACCACAGCTCTTACTGGGAGACGTCCGACAGAGATAAGCCACACTGTATCTCTCATGTTCTCGGATATTACTTTGTCATATACGTTTTTAACTATTTTCTGATTTTCTTCTTTTCTTTTTGAGTTTAATTGTAAACTCAAAACTTCCCTTCCCGTGCTGAATCATAGTGCGAAGGAATCACTCAGGACGCGCTCACCCCCTCCCTCCTGTGCTGAATCGAATGAATCACTCACTCACTCACCCCCTCCCTCCTGGCTCACAGCTTCTTCTTCTTCTTGGTTGGCACCAATGTTAAGGCGCATTACCGCCCCCTGGCTCACAGCTCAGTGGACATTTAGATGAGAAAATATATATTTGACACATTTAAGGAAAATACTAATAAAATAAAAATAAACAAAATAAATGTTCCCTATAGAATTTTTTTTGCTCTTTTTTGTTCTATAAAATAGTTGTTTTCTTTTAGAATCACTCATCTTAGCAGTAGGATATACATGAAAAGAGAAACAAATTAAGTTTGAGTGAAAATGTACATTTTTTGGATTCTCTGGTCAACTGACTCAGTGACTCAAAAAGTCAGATTCACTTTGGTGAGTGACTCATTAAAACCTGATTCAGTAAAAAAAAACAAATTTACCATCACTACTGGATACAGATGACTTGCTGAGGATTCAAGTATGGGTTTGACTATCTATCTATCTATCTATCGATATAGTTACAGTTAAAAGCTTATATACATGATCATGGGCATGAATGTATTGGTAATGTGGGTTTAAGGTTTTTAATCAAAACAAGGGTTTTCAGGATGTATACAGCATACGACTGCAAGGGCTTTAAAAACATTTATATGGCTGATTTTTTATCTATGAGTGTAATTTCTGGTCTAGAGCTGAGTTTCCCACAGTGAAGGAGTCCCACCAAAAGCAGCAGCAGAGCCACCATCACAATAGTGAAAACAACCCTTAAGAGGAGGAGGAGATCACGAAAGTTGTCAGAAAAGAGATTAGTATCTCTGTGAAGCCCTGCAAAGAGACCAGAAATTTGCATATTAAGAAGAAACATTTGCAATTTTTCTTTTTGCATCGTCTTTCACACCATGGTGTCTCTTCTAACATCATGATACCCTAAATTTAAAAAATATTTCTATCCCATTGTAAGATTACTTAAAAAATATATAAATAAAACCTTGCCATGCAAAATGCACTTTTTAAAAGAATCTAGTTATGTTGGTTAAATAATGGTACATAACAATATTGAATGATAAAGCGTGCTTTTCAGAATTCATGAGCATTTATCTCCGAATGTAGGTTTTGCTAATCCTTTAATTTAAAATACAACCAGCCTACGTGTTATTTTGAGCAATGCTTGGATGGCTGGACAGAACAGTGACACAGTTGACAAAACTGACAATGCTCCCAGTATGACTAAAATGATATAGGTTTGTCAAGTTTAAATGTGATCAATAAAGTTTATTATATAAGTTTACTACAAAGTGAACAGATATAAGTATGAAATGTAAGGGTTTTATTTTGAAACATTTACACCTCACCTTGGACAGACAGCCAACTTTCTGATGATTCTCCAACTCGTGATATTCTGCACTTGTAGAATCCTTCGTGAGACTTGTAGACTGTGCTAATGGTCATGTTTCCCATAGAGTTGGTACCAATGAAGATGTCATCCTTATAGAAGGAAGTAGCAAGGCTGGCAAAAGCCATTTTGGTTTTGCAGAACAGAGTCACAGATTCGCCCTCCATCACAGGATGAGCAGGAGTCTCCAGGATTAAAGCAACAACTAGACAAGATAGGGCTTGTCAATATTTATATAATTTAACCTTCCAACATCCATAAGGTCACTGGCAACCCATCTAAACTGAATGCAATTTTCAGTTCATTCAGTTTTAAGATGCGCTAATTTTTTACTACAGGCAGAATCAAATAATTAAAATGACAAAAGATAAACCAAAAACAAATGACAGTACACAATTTTGTTCAATTATTAAATGATGAAGCCTATAATTACACTTCACAATAC